GGGGTGGGGGGAGGGGGTGGGGGGAGGGTGGGGGTGTGGTTTCAGGTGGGAATGCCCTACGGATGGCAACTAGAGAAGGCCGGCGATGGAGATAGAGGATCGGAACGTGGGAGAATATGGGCGGCAGTCGGGATTCGGGTGGTGGTAAAAGAGCCCGGGACGGCTGGATCGTGCGAGGTGCTGGGTCCTCTGGCCCGCACGTCCGGGCGGGGTTGCCACACACCGGACGTGCGGGCCGTGCCGTTGTGCGCGCGAACGTAGTCGTGCGGGCTGGTTGCTGTCCATGCCGCACGAGGCGTGTGACACAACCCCCACACACCGGACGTGTGGCAGTTATCCGGACAAATAAACTATGAAGACGAAAATAAACCGTCGTGCATACCGGATTACGAATTCTCCTTTTAATACAGCAGTAGATAGACTACCAAGTGAAAACAAACCCTGATTGATTTTTATGAGAGGGAAATCCCCAATCCGTCGGCCGATTACAAACGCTTTCCATTCAAGAAAAAATACGTATGCACATTTGGATATCGACAAAGGTAATCATCAATGATTGGTTGACTAGTGGGGTGGTTGTACTCCCGTCACTGCCCTGCCCATCGTTTCCGCCGCGCCCCGAGCCGACGCTGAGCGAGCCACCAAATCTACCAGCCGTGAAGGCCGGGCGGAGAGCACGCTGCCGGCAGCTTCCCCTCCCCTCCCCTCCCCTCCTCGTCTCGCCATTTCCGCGGTATCGGAGCAGGGCAGGTGCGTGTCCGTCTCCTCCCCCAACTCCCACCCACCTCCCCCCTCCCCCCTCTACTGCTGCATTGCTGAGTCCGTACGCTCCAATCCACCGTCTGCTGCGGTGATGCCTCCCGGTAGCGGCGCCTGGCAGTAGGCTTCACCGCTTCGGCACTTCCCCGCTAGGATTCCCGACCCCGGCCGTGCTTGCTCACCGGCTCGATCGATTGCAGGCCGCGCGCGGTAGGTGGGTGCGAGCGGCTGGGACATAGGGATTGGGGGTCCGGTCTTGGTCAGTCAAGATTTACTCGCTTCTGAAGACTGCTTGCTAGGATTTCAATGGACAAAGCGCTAGGGCCGTAGGCCAACTTGGTTCCGCTGGCGCTTTGACGATCTGCCGCATTCAGCATTCGGGTGCTTTTCCACCTACAGTGATTTTTTTTCACTGCATCTGCCGGCGCTGGATCCATTAATTTCCTGATTGAACAATTCCAAAGCACATAGGAGTAAGTTAGATTACTGTACCGCCACCGCTGCGTTTGATTAGGACAGGCAGAGAATGCCTGCCTCTCTGTGGTGTTTCAGTTTTTCGATTCGATGAATTTGCTGATGAGCAATGGCCACATATGCTGGGCACATCCCCGAACCTGTGATGCTCTGCTGCAGCGGGATTGTTATTTGGTGGTGGTCATGATTTGGGATTTTATTTGCGGTTCGCGCAAATAAAACACTGAAATCAGGATGACTTGCTAGACAGCTCAGCTTCCTGGAATGCCTGAGTTTGGTTCCCATGTCACACCACATCGCGAGATTACCACTGATCGAGCTTGGCTCTGTTCTTGAACTGTACAACCACCGTGCTTCGTTTATTCTGTGCATCTTCGCTTTCCTTGTTTGTTAGCACATGTTTTAAGGCATTAGATGGGAACTCTTCTTCAGCTTACTGTTCGGTTTATTTAAATTTTTCGTTCGTCGTTTGAAGAGTGAAGACACCAACTAGAATTTCCTCTGCAGATCTTGTCTGGCGTCTTCTTGGATGGCTGCTGCTGTAAAAACAAGTGGTGGTTTCTGTAACACACAGCAGCAGTGGCTACACTCAACGAGAGATCTGTTTTTACATGGATCTACTCGTTCGAATGCCAAAGAATGCAAAAGCAAGAAGACAAAAAAGCCCACTTCACTGTGTGTTAAAGCTACTTCCGCGAAAGTGGAATTAGATTTTAATGATCCATCTTGGAAGCAGAAGTTTCAAGAAGACTGGGATAATCGTTTTAATCTGCCACGTATTACAGATATATATGACTTGAAACCAAGGCCAACTACATTCTCACTCAAGAAACAGAGGTTTTGTGCGCCCTCTCTTCTTTGTCATCTTTGGATTAATTTGCCAGCCTTCCTGTAAGCTAATAACTATGCAGCATTTCTTATCCAATGCCACCTATTATCACTCTGCTAGAACTCCTACTGGTGATGAAGATAGTACACCTATGGATATGTGGAATGGTTACGTAAACAATGATGACCGGGCACTTATGAAGGTTAGTACTCTTATGAAAATTTAGCATGATACCGGAAGACTCAGATGTTAATTTAAAATTTAACATTTCACAGCGTTAGAGCCATCATTAAGCTGGGTGAGATTGTTTACTACTCCTGTACAGAAGATATGAAGATATGTTGTTGTAGTCTTTTAGACATTGGCAATTGGCAAGCATCAGTGCACACTTTGATGTTAACTTTTATAATAATATGCTATTTAAAGTTACAATGAGTATTATTATGTAAATATTCTGTATGGCAAATCTACTACTGCTATTCTCATATAGTGAATTTAAATACTTCTTTGTATCTTAGTCATGAAAGTTCAAATTGCTTGCTGCATGTACTTTAAACATCTATTTGTAATGGAGTAGTCATAAATGTTGTGGTATGCTTTCTCAGCAGCTAACTTCTATGATGCACGGCATCACTGAATTTATTAGCACCTAAAAGACGCATGTAGCTCGCAAAAGGCAGCTTTATTTTTGTTCCCACTATGCTGTGAACTTAACATAGCAATGCTACTTTAGGTGATAAAGTATTCGTCGCCTACTTCTGCTGGAGCAGAGTGCATTGATCCTGACTGTAGCTGGGTGGAGCAATGGTATGATATCTTCTAGGATAAATTCACAATATGAGTACTATTTCTTTCAGTGCCACAAGGATGCCATCTTTCTTCACATGCTATGTGTTATGCCACATCAACTTCTGCCCTTCTGTTTTCTACAATGGCGGAACTGCTACTTGTTTGTTAGATTTAACTCTTGAGAATCTTAAAGAGTCAGGCAGTGACAAATAGCTTTATGCAGGGTGCATCGTGCAGGGCCTCGTAAGGATATATACTATGAGCCAAATGAAGTAAAAGCTGCTATAGTTACTTGTGGAGGTCTCTGCCCTGGTTTGAATGATGTCATCAGACAGGTCCCTTTCTTTTAGCATTGTTCAAACAAATTCTGTTTTTCTGGCATGTCTACCTAAAGTTTGGTACATGCCCATGGTACTCATTGCGAACTTCAACTTAAGTAAGATTAATCAGCTCTGAAAATTATCATTGGGGCTATGAAGCTCTGCTTATCCTATGATTTCTCCAATTAGCTATCATAAAAAATCAACAAATTGAGTTTCATGCACATGGTGTTACACACACATGCATTTGTCTAATGTAAACTGCAAATATAAAAGTGGGGGCAAATTTCATCAGTGCATGATATTGATACAGTACTTTTATGTGTCCCCTGATCCTCAAACAGAAATGTTGGCGTTATCATTTGAAATATCCATGCAGCCTTTTTATCAGTCCATGCAGTTTTTCGTAGATATGTTTTGTGGTTTTGTTAATGCTTTCGAACGGAGCATTTACCCTATCCAGTATTCTGGCATGCAAATGATATAATAGACTCGAGTGCAAATTTTTTGGTTAATGTTGAGTATATGACGTGTATTTCCATGTGCAGGTAGTATTCACCCTAGAGACATATGGGGTTAAGAATATTGTTGGAATTCCATTTGGCTTTCGTGGATTTTTTGAAAAAGGTCTAAAAGAAATGCCAGTAAGAAGCTCCTCTCATAAATCAGCAAAACAGTTACTGCTTATTAGGTTCTCAGATTTCATTTTGGTAACACCATCCAGCTTTCACGTAATCTAGTGGAGAATATTAATCTTGCTGGTGGAAGTTTTCTAGGAGTCTCCCGTGGAGGACCTAAAACTAGTGAAATTGTAGATAGTATACAGGTAAGCTATCTGAATTGCAACAATTTTATTCTGTATTGGTTATTCCTATACTTTTTAATAATCATAGGTTTTTTCAGAAAATGATTAATGATTATCTGGTTTTTAGGCCAGAAGAATTGATATGCTTTTTGTACTTGGTGGAAATGGTACCCATGCAGGAGCAAATGCTATCCATGATGAGGTTCTTATATCTTTATATTTCTTGTCAGTCCTTTATTTTCTACCCTGAAGCAGTTGGAAAACATCCTACTGTGATTTTTATATATAATAAAGTTAGTATGGTCAGTACAGAAGTTCAATAATTAGGGGATTAGTATGAATAGTATTTACATAGGGTAGTTACAAGCTGAGAGGAGATACGATTGTAAGCATGGGATTAGAGATTTGTTGAATACATAACTCGAGTCTTTGGAGATGCTTCTGCTTGGTCCTGCGGGTCATCAGAATCAGGTCATCACAAAGATTGGAGCCCAAGTTATGAATTGTAGGAGGGATGTTCTTGAAGATGAGGTCATTCCTCTGTTTCCTGGCATATATGATAATAATTATACTAAAGGAGGTCATTTCTTGTCAGTCCTTCATCCAAATATTACATTAGCCCATGAATCTTTGAGAATTAAATGGAACCTCGCGTATGTTCGAACCCAGATAGGTGAAGGATGCACGGATGCAGAAACCCCTACCGCTCATCTTGTTTCATCTTGCTTTCCAGATTCATCATCTTGAATGTTATATATATCTTGTTCGTGCACAATACCTATTGATTCCCCTTCCCCAAACACTTGCAGTGCCGTAAAAGAAAGCTCAAGGTTTCCGTTGTAGCAGTTCCAAAGACCATTGACAATGACATACCTTTAATGGACAAAACATTTGGTTTTGATACTGCTGTGGAAGAAGCTCAACGGGCCATTAACTCTGCCTATATAGAGGTAGACTGCTCTCTCTCTCTCTCTCTCTCTCTCTAAGCCACACTATAATATTATTAAAACATCATGTCATTAGGCACGAAGTGCGTACCATGGTATCGGCTTGGTCAAATTAATGGGAAGAAGCAGTGGTTTCATTGCAATGCATGCTTCTCTTTCAAGTGGGCAGGTTGATGTCTGCTTAATACCAGAGGTTCGTAAACACTGCACTGTTTGTATTGAAACGTACCATTTCTTCTCATGGATGATGTACCAATAGAATCTTATACTGTATGAAAAGGTCTCATTTGCGCTCGATGGAGAATATGGTGTTTTACAGCACCTCGAGCAGTTAATAAAGAACAAGGGATTCTGTGTGGTTTGTGTTGCTGAAGCTGCAGGACAAGTAAGTGAGCTCAGTGTGGTTTTAGCCTTTGGCTTTTTTCGCTCCATATACCACTGACTAGCTTCTGTTTTACCTTTTGTTTTCAGGAGTTACTGCAAAACTCAGGTGCAACTGATGCATCAGGAAATGCAATACTTAGCGACATTGGTGTTCACATGCAACAAAAGGTTTGTATATGATAAAATCTCTTTACCTCGGAAAGGTCGATCTTATAATGTACATGCTGTCCTTCGATACAGTAGAAAGTTAGATGGTTATGGTGACATTGAACTTGGTCTAGCCTTATTCGTCTTACCGTACTAGCTTCTCTAGCTGCTTATATGAGGTTGCTGAAACTGAGTGTCCCCCATACTTCCATCCTCCCGTTTCTCTGTTCCATTCTAGAAGTCGGCAATGGAGAGCATTTAGTGACACTGATTACACTGATCACTGTTACTATTTAGGCTGGTCATAGTGGGAGTAACATAGGTAGTAACATAGATGCCACATAAGCAAAAACGATGATGTGGCAAGTAGTTAATGAGGAGAGAGGCAAATAGAGTAACATAATATGTTACCATCACATAGCGGTTTCCAATGCATAATGAGTCTACAAAGTAATAAATGAAGGCAACTATGTTACCACACCTATGACACTACCCACTATGAAGGTAGTAACATAGACTAGTAACACATGTATGTTACTAGTCTAAGTTACTCCCCACTATGACCAGCCTTAATGACACTGATTACACTCTCCAGATCAAGACGCATTTCAAGGGCATCGGTGTCCATGCTGATATAAAATACATCGACCCGACGTACATGGTCCGGGCTTGTCGTGCCAATGCATCCGATGCGATTCTGTGCACCGTGCTTGGACAAAATGCCGTAAGTCAAATCAGTTTCCTGCAAGCCCTTGCGGTTTAATTAATCTTCTCGAACCGTAGACGTACAGTTCCCCATGTCATTATCCACAGCCTGCTCATGTGAGAATTCTATGATGCTGCCCTGTGCAGGTCCATGGAGCGTTTGCCGGGTTCAGTGGCATCACCTCCTGCATCTGCAACACTCACTACGTGTACCTCCCGGTCACGCAAGTCATCACAGCACCGAAGCGTGTGAACCACAAAGGCAGGATGTGGCACCGTTGCCTCACGTCCACAGGCCAGCCGGACTTCCGCTGACCACCTCTCGCTACAGAACTTGAATGATAAGTGCTACGGAATTTCGGTGTCAAGTTTTTGCCCCATGCAATCAGTTCGGTTTTTCTCTTTGTGTAATCAGTTAAGTTGTTCAATGTTAAAGTACTAGAGAATCTGAGTGCTGTGCTACATAATTAGTCCAGTTTTTGCTTGTGCAATCAGTTCAGTTCAACTTTGTAACCCCTTTTATTTTTCCCTTGCTCAGCCGGTTCAGTTTTTCCCATTTAACCTGTCCACCTTTTGATTTTTGTGTCACCAGTTCAGTCGGTATTTAGATGTTCAAAATTTCCGTTGTGTAATCAATGTAGTTTATGCCTTGTACTTATAACCCGTTCAGTCATTTATACTCCCTCCGTTCCAAAATAAGTGCCAGAACACTTACTTTGGAATAGAGGGAGTAATATGTTTCAGCGGTACAATTTTCCATTGTGAAAATTTTCAATTTCGACAGTCGGTGGATCACTGCTGGTGTTTTTTGTCACTCTGGAACGCTGAACGCTGATAGCATGGAAGTCTGGGTGTTTTGCCTTTTTTTTTCTATTCATTTTGACCATTTGACCTGAACTAGTGGGCTAAAGTCACCCAATTTGCGTCCAGTCAAGATCTCCCAAAAAATTTGTGCGAGAAATTAACAAAAAATAACTCATGGCCTGGTCTCTCGCCTGTCCGATGTAACGTCGCGCTGCACAATAGCAGACATTCTTATTGGGTGAAGAGGCCATACGATAGAAAGTTTTTAGAAGAAAGGCACAAGCAGCGCTCGGCTTTACGCCAGAAGATCTACAGAGAAGTGTTTTTCATTAGTAACGGGCACGCAAGTGATTCGGGATAGAGATCCTTCTTAAATACAACAGCGCGACCTGCTTTCACTCGGAGCGCCTAGACATGAAAGGACCCCCGTCCCCAAAAAAAAAAGTCGGTTAACTAGTGTTGGATTTGTGTCCCCAGGATCCATCATTGCGACGACGTTTGCTCAAACACCAGTGCGGAGCTTGGGAGACAATGCATGAGCAGATGGAGATTTTGTGGTCTGTGATGTCGACATCTGAAAGATGGCGGATTGTATGCTGGGTTCGTGGTTGGCAGGTAGCATGTATGTTTTTCTCCTCTGACGTCTTCATCGAGCGGGGGCTCCAAATAGTTTGATGACGTGTTCGGAGTGCTGCCCCAATCAAATTCTTTCAACAACAATGTCTTTGCCTTTGGCAAGTCCTTTAAAAGTTCAAAAAGTGATGGAGCCGCGCCGAGCTCGGATGAAGAGGTGATCCGTTATATTTTCTTTGGTAGCAGCCACAATGTTGCCGAAGGTAGGTGACCAAAATTAGCGTCAAGCTTAGGAGTTTTTTTGGTTTTAATTAAAAAAATTCTTCTTGGCTGATGATCCTCCATGCAAATGAGGATCATTTTAGTCAGGTGGGTGATCTTTATTGTACACAATTACAACCTAGGCCAAGCCTGAGGCCCGCCAGGCTTTTTCATTTGCTGGGTAAGGCTTGGGCCTGAATTCTAGGCTCGACAGCCAGGCCTTCTTCTTCGGGCTTTGGTAGGCCCGGCCCGGCCCGACGGATGGCCAGGTATACTCAGGCCCTTCCCCCTCATCACCAGCTCCGGCACTGTCGAGGGCAGGCAAGCCTCCCGGCGCGGTCGAGATCTCCTCTCCCTGCCGCAAGGAAGAAGATGTCGACAAGACAGACCCCAAGCCCAAGAAGTTTCTGATGTTCGCCGCCAACTGCTAAAAAGAAATAGTATGGCGAGGAACGCCGCCGCCGCCGCCGCCGCGAGGTTACTCGCCGACTCCCCATCTCCCTTCCATTCCAGTCACCACCACCACCGCCGCCGTGCCCTCCCAGTCCCCACATCCCGCTCCAAGACCTCCTCCGCCAAGCCCGCTCCTCCATCTCCTCGCACCGACACCACCGGCGATCCAGCTGCAGCCATTTCCACCGGGCCCCGCCCATCTCTCTTCCAAGAAATCTCCGGCCTCATCGCCCCTGCCGCCGGCACGGTCAGCGACCCCCCATTTCAATCCCGATTGAATAGACAGTCGGGGAGGAGCGGCAACGAGGCCCCTGCACAATGCACGGAAGGTGCTCGGCCAAATGCTCCAGAGACTTTTGCCTTTCTCACCGGCAGAGCTCCTGACCAAGGGGTTCCCGATGGCCCTTCTGACAGCCCGGGTGGCAACGCAAAAGGCTCTGCCCCAAGCCAGGAAGCATCATCTCACGAGGTGGTGGCAGGTGCGCTCGCCCAAGATCCTGACATTGACAGTGCCCAAGTGCAAAAGATCACCGAGGTTTTACGGTCAGAGGTGCCCGGATTGCCTTTCGAGGAGAGGCTGGGTTGCTTGGGGGTCGTGTACACGCCGAGGATCGTCAACATGGTGCTCAAGAGGTGCTTCAAGAAGCCGCACCTGGGGCTCAGGTTCCACTACTGGGTTAAGCAACTTCCAGGGTTCCACCACACTACAGAGACATACAACACGACGCTGTTTATTGCAGGCGAAGCGAGGAGTTTTGGGTTGATGGAGGAGCTGATGGGCGAGATGGATAAGGAGATGTGCCCCAAGGATATCAAGACGTGGACAATTATCATAGCCAGTTATGGGAAGGCAAGGCAGGTTGGCAAGATGCTGTCTGCATTTCATGCTATGAAGAAATCTCGTTCCGTGGCAGTAGACACTAGAGTCTATAGGACGATTCTTCGTGCTTTGTGCAACAATGCAAGGCATGAGCTTGCTCTTGAGTTCTACAAGGACATGCCCGCCAACATGGATGTCGGATCTGACATTCTGCGGCTTCTGCTGTGCTTGCTGGCTGGATCAAACAGTGCTGAAGCTGTCTTCATTATCAGAGATGATATGATTAAAAGCGCGAGGTATCCAGAGGAGTATTGCTACTTGGAAGCTCTACGGAGCTTCTGTGTCTCAGGAAAACTAGCAGAAGCTCAGAAAGTCTTTCAGCAGATGATGAACAAGTCCATGGATAGCTCATCTGCTTTTGAAACCCTCTTGAGGGGGCTGTGCAAAAGCGGAAGGATGGATGAAGCTCTTAAGCTAACGGAGCATATGAAGAACAGATCATCTATTAGCAGCATGGCGTTTGGTTTTCTCATCGATGGCTACCTCAGGAAAGGAGAATGTACAAAGGCACTTCAGTTGCTGCAGGGAATGAGAGAGTATGGTTGTATTCCATTGGCCTCCTCTTACACTCAGCTCATGCAGCACCTCTTTGCATCTGATCAGTATAAAGAAGCCTGTGAACTGTATGAGGAGATGCAGGAAGTTGGTGTTCAACCAGATATTGTAACAATCACAGCATTGATAGCCGGGCATATTCGCAGTGGACATATTTCTGAAGCATGGGATATTCTCAAAAAAATGAGCGAGAACGGTCAAAGGCCCACAATTAAAGCTTATACAGTGTTCATCCATGAGCTCTGTAAGGCCTCCAAGCCCCTCGAGTCGTTGGAACTTCTGAAGGAAATGTTGAAATTTGACTTCAGGCCTTCTGAAGAAACTTTCTGCCGGATTATTTCTTCCTTGCGTGAGAATAATTATCTGGAGGAAGCTATTAATGTTGAGAGAATGCGGGCACCTTTTGATATTAAAAAGCCTAAAGGTGAGACGGAAATCAGATCATTAGAGAAAACTGACACAGTTGATGAGTTTCAGAAATTATCCGAGTGTGAACTGGAGGAGAAGAAAATGATATTTGGGTCTGTTGTTCTTCCATCTGATAAAGACTCTGAGATATCGAGGTGCACACTTCGTGATAACGAAAATCACATCGAACTAACAAAGGGCTACAGCGACGAAGATGTTGAAAGGATATGCCAAATTCTGTCATCTTCTGACGACTGGAGCTCAATGCAGCAGGCACTTGAGATGAGATCACTGCATTTTACACCAAACCTTGTCAATGCCATCATGAAGTGCTGCAAGAGAAATGGCCATGCTGCTTTGAAGTTTTTCTCTTGGGTAGGGAAACGACCCTCCTACATGCACACAACAGAAACGTACAACACAGCTATGAAACTCGCAGGCTCCGCGAAAGATTTTAAGCACATGAGGCACCTTTACAGAGAAATGGCATGGGCACAATGTTCTCCAACAGTGGACACATGGAATGTCATGATTTGCCAGTACGGTAATGCTGGTCTCACTGAAATGGCCTTGAAGACATTTTATAAGATGAAGCAAGAAGGCTTTCAGCCTTCCAAAAGTACATACAGTCACCTGATAATGTATCTCTGCCGCAGAAAAGGCCGAAAAATAGGCGCTGCAATCAAGATCTTGAAGGAAATGATTCATGCAGGTTATATGCCTGATAATGATGCGCTTTGTACGTATCTTTCAGCGTTATGTGAGTGCGGGATGTTGGCTGATGCAAGAAGCTCAATAGTATCCCTATGTGAACACGGATTTACTACACCGATTGGCTACTCCATACTCCTTAGATCATTGTGCAGGTCTGATAGAAAAGAGGAAGCTGTCAGTTTGTTTGATGATATGGAGAGATATGGCTGCTCCAGAAATGACTACATGTATGGAAGCTTCATTCATGCGTTACTGAGGTGGGATCGCTTTGAAGACGCTGTAGCCAAATTTGAAGAACTGAAGAATGCAGGCATATGTCCAAGCACCCATATGTATACCTCGTTCATCATTTACTTCTTTCAGAAAAGAGATGTTGTCAAGGCAATGGATATGTTCAAGGAGATGGTAGACGATGGATGTGTGCCTTCAGTCGTCACATACTCCGCGTTAATACGCGGTTACATGGAAGTAGGCATGGTTTCAGAAGCCTGGGATGTCTTACGGCACATGAAACTGAAAGGACCATCGCCAGACTTTGTGACCTACTCGATGTTCATAACGTACCTCTGCAAAGCTGGTAGATCGGAGGATGGGTTGCAGCTGATTCATGATATGCTGGATGGTGGCATCACCCCCAGCACAGTAAACTTCAGGACTGTTTTTCATGGCCTGAATATGGAGGGCAAGCACAAGCTAGCCGACTCCGTCCTCCAGTCAAAATGGCATCTGCGGAGGCAAAGGAGCTTCTCAGATTCTTCGTTTGTTTAATCTTGCAGATGTGCTCACGTACTTGGTTCACTCAAAATCAATCTTCATGAGGATCATTTTTCTTTTCTTTAGACAAGCTTATATGATAGGAGCATCTTCTAAGGATGAACTGTTAACCTTTTTAGTACCACAATACTTGAAGCATCATGTTATTCTCAAAGTTTCAGGAGATGAGGCATACTAGGATGCAAAGATCTCAATAGGATTATCTATTTATTTATGCACATTTGCTATTCCTCAGTCGTCCAAGAATATAAATTGTATCAGTCGTTTACAACTGAGGAGAGCAAAGCTTAATACCAGAGCTTCGTAATCATTGGTGTTCACATGCAACAGAAGGTTTGTACGACAAATCTCTTTACCTCGGAAAGGTGGATGTTATAATGTACAGGCTGCTCTGTGTGACCAGTTCAGTCAAACATTTTAGATGTTCAGTTTTTCCTTTGTGTAATCAGTACAGTTTTTGCCTTCCATAACCCGTCCAGTTTTCTTCCATTGTGAAAATCTTCAATTTGGACAGTTTTCAGGGCATCGGTGCTACTGTTTTTGTCATTGCAACGCTGACAGCATCCAAGTCGCTGCTGCTGTTTTTGCCTTTGTTCATTTTGACCGGGTTATGTGACACAGAGGGCTAAAGTCACTCAATCTGGGTCCAGTCAGTAGTTGTTTCTCATAGAAGTCGAGCCATGGCGTAGTACTACTACTTAGCGACATTGGTCTCTCCATGAAGTGTTGCATGCCCGTCTGATGATTATAGGGCTCCTTCGATTCAAATGAGCAGTACCACACCTGAAGAAGCAGGCTCCTTCGATTCAAATGATTTCATAGAAATTCTAGAGGATTAGAATCGTTAGAATTTTTTTTCTAGAAATTCTATGTTAGTTCTTTGGTTCATAGGATTGAGTTCATAGGATTGAATCCTATAGGAATTTTTCCTTTTATTTTTACTATGCTGCAAATATGTTTTTTCTATTCCCGCGTGTCGGTGTCAAAACCGGCGGATCTCGGGTAGGGGGTCCCGAACTGTGCGTCTAGGCGGATGGTAACAGGAGACAAGGGACACGATGTTTTACCCAGGTTCGGGCCCTCTTAATGGAGGTAAAACCCTACGTCCTGCTTGATTGATATTGATATTGTGGATGTTTACAAGAGTGGATCTACCACGAGATCAAGGAGGCTAAACCCTAGAAGCTAGCCTATGGTATGATTGTAATGGTTGTTATTGTGTCCTACGGACTAGAGCCATTCGGTTTATGTAGACACCGGAGAGGGCTAGGGTTACATAGAGTCGGTTACAATGGTAGGAGATCTACGTATCCGTATCGCCAAGCTTGCCTTCCATGCCAAGGAAAGTCCCATCCGGACACGGGGCGAAGTCTTCAATCTTGTATCTTCATAGTCTTGGAGTCCGGTCGATGATGATAGTCCGGGCGATGATAGTTCGGCCGATGATGGTAGTCCGGCTATCCGGACACCCCCTAATCCGGGACTCCCTCAGTAGCCTCCGAACCAGGCTTCAATGACGATAAGTCCAGCATGTGTGTAGTCTTCGGCGTTGCAAGGCGGGTTCTCCTTCAAGTTCTACGTACCTGCCGAACAGTGTCCGGCTTCCTCATCAATGTTGCGCGTCTTGGCTTCCACGCCTAATAATGGCCTTCTTCCACGCATCGCGCGAATGTGAAAAGCCAGGGTGTCTTTTATGTTTTACCCCCTAGTTGTGCGAATAATCTGCCTATAAGGGAGGCAAGAATCCAGATCCAAATCACCATCTTCCTCCCGCAAATACTCATCGGAGCGCTTTTGACCAAGAATCCATTCCATCATGGACCGTCAACGCGGCTCCTCTTCTCGCGCTCCCAGCCCTTTGCCAGGAGATTGGAGGAGATGCTCTGTTCCGCACAACGAGCTGGTGAAGCTCCAAGCGGGGGGATATCTCCCTCCGGCCTTTATGGTTCCGGTTCGAGCCGGGCTGGCCGCCTACAAAGGTGGGAAGCAAGCGGAGGTTACCCCAAGTCCCAACAAAGGGGAGCAGGTATGCTTCGTCCCCTATCTGATAAGGGGGCTCGGATTTCCTGTACATCCATTCCTCCGCGGGCTCCTGGAGTTCTACGGACTCCAGCTTCATCACCTCACGCCCGCCTCAATCCTGCATATTGCGGGTTACGTAGCTCTTTGCGAGCTATTCCTGGGCGTCGAGCCCCATTTCGCGCTGTGGAAGAGGTTGTTCTGCCTTGTACCCCGCTCTCACGAGGGGTCCATATATCAAGTGGGCGGCGCTGAAATATGGCGCATTGCCGGGACCGGATATCCATCCGGAACCCCTAAGAAGGCGTCCGAAGACTGGCCTTCGGAATGGTTTTATATAGAAGACGCTCCACTGCCGGACCCTGTTCGGATCGGCCTCCCGGAGTTCAGCAATTCTCCTCTGAAGAAACGCCTTAGTTCGCGTCCGCGGAGCCCCCAACTGGAGGAAGACAAGAGCGTCCATTATTTGATGGGCCGAATAAGGTTACTGGCCCATTCCGGGTTGACCATGATTGGAGTCATGGCAACATGCATTATGCGGGGGTTGCAGCCACTACAATACAGGGGCCACGCCATGTGGGATTTCAACGGGGAGGACGATGCCACCCGTCATGGCCGCAAAGGGCCGGATTCGGTCGAAGACCTGGTGACGATACTGTCCGGCCTGTATAAGGGGGAGAAGGAGGATTTCCTTAGGACGAACCCGTTAAATGGGTTCTCCATGAATAATCCCCGGCCTTGGGTAAGCGAACACTCTGCGTGCCCGACCCATGCTTTTTGAAACTTAAGTTTCTTATATTATGTTCTTCTTTCGACGCAGGAGCTGCGCCGGATCGTGGAGGACATGCTAAGTCCAGCTCCGCAAACCGAGGATCCAGAGAGATCCTGGGATCCGGCCTCCGAAGAGGATCCGGACATAAAGGTGGAGCTAATCGACGGGGTGTTCCACCAGCTCAGCATGGACAATGCTTTAGTCGCCATCATGGCCGACTATCCCGGACTATATCCGGCTTCCCAGGTGATTGCGACCGAAGTCCTGACACCGTCATTCCTTCCTTGCTTATTCCTGACCACCGTATATGATGGCGATGTGCAGGAGGCGCCCCTAGGGCGAGAAGCCGAGCCCGCGGTGGCTGACCAACAAAGGCCAGTCCGGACCAGTAGGCGGAAGAGGAGCGCGGCGCGGACTGAAACGTCGCCGCAAAGGTGTAGCTCACAATTCATTATTTAGAGCAACGTTCCTAGGAAGCGTTTGAGTGCTCATGACTTTTGTAGGGAAAAAAGAGCCCACCGGACTGCAGGCGTGGAGGTTGCCAATCCAACCTCTACCAGCCAGGCTCCAGCACCTGGTCTGGAGGGGGAGGCGAGCGCAAGGCGCGAGCCGGACGTTCCTCCGACGGAGGACGCCGACAGACTGTCCGCCACCAAGTCTGAGGTGGAGAGTGCCATGAATCACAAGCGCCGCCGGACAGTATTTCGTGACGCGTGCTTCTCCCTCGAGGCGTTGAATGCCTTTAACGCGGGGGACGCGCACCTTCGTGCTGCTCAAGATGGTTTTACCAGAGCCACGGAGCAGTATGTAAAAGACATACGGGTAAGAGAATTTAATAGTTATATATGCCAGTAGCCCCCGAGACTTAAAGTAGTTATATTAACTGATTTAAGGATCATATGAAACGTAGGATCTTACCGAGAAGAATACCCAACTGTCTCAGGAGCTGCAAGAGTGCAAAGCCCAACTTGAGGCCACACTCTCTGGCGCAGGAGGAAACACAGGGACCTCTCTTGGTAACGCATTATTTTAGAAAGATAAGTAGCGTTTGGCCTTTGCGCAAGTCTAAAAAATAACGTTGCAGGTGCTGCCGGACAAGATCCGGACAGGCAAGAACTTCTGCGCCAGCTAAAGGCTGGCGAGAGGGTGCTGCATAAGGTGCAGCATGAAAGGAACAAGCTCCAGGATGCCCATGCCCAGCTTGGAGAAGAGCTGAAAGGCGTTCGGGCCGAGCTGTCGGGCTCCGTTAAGGAGAATCAGCGGCTTCGTCGCGGCATCTATAGTAAGTGCTTGAGCGAACTCCTTTGAAAAGAAGAGTTCGGCGAGGAAGTCAATTTGACAGAATATGTCTGCAGGTATGCTCACAGGTCGCCCCGCGGAGGAGATGCCCGTATCAACGGGTGATCAACTTCCCGAATTGTTGCGACTGATCGAACGAGTTCGGCAGGCAATGGGCGGCGTCATCCAGGCTTTATGGCCAGCCTTCTCCTTACCCGAGGATCTTGGGGAGCTTGCGGAGAAGCTTCAAGGAGTGCGGCAGCGCTTCCATTTATGGAAGATTTCGGCCTGCCGCCAAGGTGCCAGGGAGGCCTGGGCCATGGTAAATACGCGGTACAAGAAGGCGGATCCCAACCACATGGCCGAAGTCGGACCTGTGGGGCCCGATGGGAAGGAGATCCCTGTGAGTTTAGTATACGACCAAGTAGAGTTGGCCGCTAAATTTTTCCAACAGGACTGTAAATTAGACAACCTGTTAGACGGGATTGAGGAAGAATACAATCAGTCGATTTGACAATGTATTATAAAATGACATGTAAAATGCCTTCTAGCCGGGTTGTAGATCGTTTGTCTTTGCTGACCTTTTCGCTTCGACCTCGGGACCCTAGAGACCGAAGTGTGTCCGAATACCTTCTCGGTTATGAAACAACCGGGGTATGCATGGAGACCAGGCGTAGGGGTCATTAGTGCTTTATCAGACAAGTGCCTAACTAGTTATGTTATATTACATGGGTAGTAAGAAACATCTTCCAGGGAGAATAGTTCCGTTAAGGGTTCCTTTCCTCTGGGGGTGGCATGCCCTAAAGTGCATGTCCGGACTGCGAAAAAAGCAGAAAAACATCTGGGGGCAGATAAATAAGTGGATAAAAAATCATCTTTTAAGTCACCGACCGAATATTCCCTTAAGAACGCTAGCTTTCGGCTT